AAAGTAAATGACAGACTCTCGAATACCGTTCATAATTCATGTGAATTCTCTCAAGGGATCCAAAAAATGTGAGTGGTAGAAACGGAAATGTTGACAACGAAACTCTTGATATAACATCGTTGAGGGGACTTTCATTTGGTATGAAAGTGTATGAAGAGATTCATTAGTCGATTTGTGATGCAGCCGTTTGGCTTTTATAAGACCCACATTGTTGGTTTGATACATGGATGACTATTTTGTCATCTGACAGCATGGTAGGGTTAGATTAGATAGTTTCCTACTTTCACTCAACCAACGTAAAATGAACATTAGGTTCACAATGAAAATAGAAGAGAATAAGTCCTCACCCTTTCTGAAGGTTCTCATCATTAGAGAAAAGGGTAAGTTAAGAAGAGCCGTTTATAGGAAACCAACATATGCTGGCTCTGCTTAATTTTCGTTCCAACCATATTTACAAGACTTAGGTTGGAATTTTGAAGTATGAGGCTAATGGATAGCAAACATATGACTCAAGAATTAAAATTCCTCGAAAATAATCATCAATTTGGCCTTATTGATAATAATATCTCTCTACTGAAGAATAAATTGTCAGACGGAGACCATTTAGTCAAAGATAGACAGACTGAGACCTTTTCCCATGTCCTAATTTTGTTGTCATGCTTTCTCTGAAAAAAGATGGACGAATTAGTAATAAAGTGGCGGATAAAAACAGTGTTCAAAAAAACCCTCAAACTTTTTTCTGCTGTACCATCTTTTAAAGTGAAATATGACCCATTATCGAGATCCGGCTGATACAAGATTGTTTGCTCATGTGGTCGATGTTGTGTTGGTGGGACATGCCGACCTATTCTACAAAGATTGGGAGAACACAAAAATGCTTGTAAAGAAAGACTGGCCGAACACGTGGTAGAAAATGGACATGAAATATAATGGTCTGTGATTAAACGAAAGATAGAACAGGCAAAGGAAATATGTTGAATGTGTGAAACGATGGTAGAAAGTTTAGTATGAACTAAGTATGCTTGATTGATAGAATGAAAGAGAGAGAGGGTGTTGGTCGGTCGTTAAAAAGGTGACTCAATTTGTCTGATCAGTGATGGTTCTAACTTCACATTAGTCCAACAGCCCTCCCGGCACAGTTTGAAGGATAAGGAAATCAGCGGGGAATATGAAAATATAGGTCTGCATAAAGAAGTTAGAAATTGTGATATTGAAGAGGTGATCCGAAGATATAGGAGAAGTGAATAGCCCAGGACGGAAGGAGATACCACAATTGTTTAGAATACATTTAGTCAAAGGATCGGCTTCCCGAAACTCTACTCAAATACGAAAAATAATTAACGTAGTCGATTGTTATAGCAAATTTACGCTTGCTTCATCAACAATCCCACCGATGCGAGGTCGAAACTGCAGTCCACTGGGGCTTGAATGAGAACAACTTTTGTGAAAGCAAGACTATGTGAAATTCAATGGAAACGTCACCTCTACTCATATGATTATAGGAAAATTCTACTACCAGTCATCCATCACCTTAAACGAAATTGGGAAAATTCATCTCGGATTACTGATTTACTGATAGTCTCGAAACTCTACTAAAATACGAAAAATAAGTATGATTAAGCCTCGTTAAATCAATTCGAAACTAGATGATATGATAATGAAGGTAAAGATACGGGGATATGGAATAGGCTAACGTACCAGACAACCGTTTAACCGACAGATGGTCAACAGATGGATTTCGCTTGCAGCTTGGACGAATGCTGGAAGGTCAGAAAACGTACCGAGTCCACGGACCGCCGCTGAAAATTAAAACTACTACGGCACTCCAGACATGGTAAGTTATCTGGGTTGCCCTGACAACACCACGTTGCGAAGACAAGTTTAAACTACATCTACATGGCAAAATAATCAAGGAAACAAAATTGAGGCCACTGCATCTTGGTCATCAGAAATTCGATAAATTTTCTCGATTTCTATAATTTTGCAACAGAGAAAAATCTGAAAACCGATCTTCATTGTACAAAATCTACCATTATATCCAACAATATCGTTATGGTAATTCGAGATATTAAGTAGCGCACAGTCGACAGAAAGGAAATAAGAGATTTCCTTCATCTTATAAACACGCGATAAAATAGCCTTCCAAAAAGCTTACGGATAAACACGAATTAGATGCAGCGAGATAACGGTTTCATTCAGAATCACTATGCTCAAGATATCTATTCAATAAATAACAGAAGAAATAAAGAAGGAAATCAAAATTTATGTTCGAATGGAACTAGGTTAGTTAGTGGTAAATATTCCACAGGAAATGAAATTGGACATGATCAAATCCTGTTGAACTCCTCCATTTAATGTAGAATTGAGAAAAATAAAAGTCAGAAGTTGTTTGAACTTGCTTTCGCAACTCGGTCATATTGGTAAGAAGACTCAGAGGAACGCACCTTGTCCGGAGTCCATTGCATGCATCATCATTTCCAAAGTCGAACCGTGGACGTAGTACATTCCCAGACTTGGTATTATAGATAGAAAGAGGATAGAAACAGTGGAAGCTAGAGCTAGTTGGCTAACAATAGTCGTGATTCAAGGGTCATGTTTATGGTCAAACACGACTATTGTCTATTATGTGCCAACCCACAAATGTCGTGGTTCTACTTGCTTTGATTATGCTCACTGAAGACGTCTCCTCTTTGCTTCTGATTGTTGCTTTCTAATCCCCCTGCGATCTATTTTGCTAAAATTAAGAATATTACCTTGATCTAGTCGTCTTTTTTTTGCCAATCTTACTGTTGCCTGTCGGGATTTCCTTCCATGTGTATCTTTAGTAGTCTGTAGGCTGTCGGTGGCCTTAAATAATTTTTGATTAAAGATTTTATCCTGCATCTGTTAATTTATTCATTATTATGAATTTCCTCGAGCATATTCTTCAGTGTCCAGTTAATCTTCTTGGTTGGATCCTTTTTTAATATTTGATTGGTGTTCCGGTCGCCAAGGATACTTTTCATTTTCTCCGTATTAATGGACAAGAAACAAATAGTAAAAAAGGATCCAACCACGAAGATCAACGGGACACTGAAGAATATGCTCAAGGAAATGCATAATAATGAAGAAATTGACAGGATGAAATCTTTAATAAAAAATGATGCAAGGCACCGACAAGGAAAGAAATCCTTGCTTGAAGTTCAAGAATGTAAATGACAGTCTCAAATATCGTCAAGAATTCATATGAATTTTTTCAAAGGATCCAGAAGATTGGTTTGGTGGGGTCGGAACTGTTGGTGAGTTTCGATGTACAATCCATGTGAACCAGGGCGAGGGCAGACGGATCTTACGGGACAAGAGAGAGACTGTGGTAAGACCTGGGGAAGGAGGAATGCGCAACAATATGGCAGACTGTGATCAACATTTCCAGCACAAAGATGAAGGGAAGTAGAAGGCCAGTGTAGGGTGAGGAGGGTTCTTATAAAAGCCTCTAAAAAAAAGCACACCGTACCACATTTAATTGAGCAAGAAAAAAAATGGCGACAGTGAAGATGTGATAGGAGGATATATGAAATGTGAATAGGCCAGGGCAGAAGTGGAGGTACCACAACTGTTTAGCACACGTTTGATCGAGGAGTCGGCTTCACTTGTCTCTTTGACGAGTTGTTGTGTGGTGCTAAGAATGGCAAGACTTACCCACGATACCGACTATGATGCCGGTGAAACGTCTGCAAATGTACCACGTCCACGGTCCGACTTTACAAATAATTATGCACACAATGGACTCCGGACAAGGTGCGTTCCTCTAAGTCTTCCTACCAATAAAACCAAGTTGCGAAAACAAGTTCAAACAACTTTGATACAACGAAAGGAGACCGTGATCACACAAAATGCCAGAACATCTTGGTCTTCATAGCTTCGATAAAAACAAAGTCACTGTAATATAAGTCTTTTCACCCAAAGTCGATTCAGGTTGCTTAAGGATTGGTAGTTCAGTTTTGGCTTTAAGATGTCATGTTCTCATTAAAGACAATCTTATTCGGAGTGAATAGATAGTCTAGAAAAGTTTTTAAAGCAGTATTGCCTTATGAATTTAATTTTGAAAAAGGGAGTTTTGTAGAAATTTTTCTACATGTTTGACATTTATGACTCACTTCTGATTCGATGTCGTCTTCAGCACCATAGACAACCGAAGATGCAGAGCTTTGATAGACAGATGGATCAAGAGTTAGACAATGCGCAATCTGTGCTGGTGATGTGCCTTCGACAGGAGCACAGAGCCGTGAAATCACAGGATGAATTTGGTGAGCCAGATAGTAGGTCACATCCACATGAAGAGCCCCGGAGTTATCTATTTCAGCAGACTTGTCATTATTCAACTCTGATATTGGAAAAAAATAACTATAGATAAAGCAAAAAAAACAGATGAAGATTTGAATAATGCAAGTACAAATAAATATAAGAATTAAATTTTCTGAAATCTGAAAAAGTAAAATGTAAGCTGTTAGATAAACATGTAATTTTTAAAAATGTTTAAGGTAGAAATCATATCAGTTAGAATAAAACAAAATAATTATATATATATATATATATATAAACCTTAATCCGGATAGAAGGTTAAAGAGTGCATTATTGATAAATAAAGGAACTATTGTAGAAAATCTAGAATGGTAAATAATGTGAAGAACATAAGTCTGAGTGGAAATAGTAAATCATCAATCAGCTGATTTTCACTAAGCCCAAAAGTATCCGAAGGTAATTGACGATGAAATTCACGCTAAGACAACGGGTAATTCTGAGTAGTCAGTTGTTAAATAAACTTGCTGTGACGTTCAGGCTGGCACAATTTTTATACATCCCCTTTTCAAGAAATCTCGAGGTGAATCTGCGAGATGTGGCAGTTTTCAATAAAGGATTCTTGTGAATTTATAAAGTTACTCGATGAGAAAGGAATAGGTGGGGATTTGCTTGTTAAATTTTGATGTAGAGTCAAGGTACACTAACATTCCATATGATTCAGGTGGGGATAAGAAAGAGGATAACTGCGTCACGGATATGAAGCCTAAGAAGATGACGATACCCAGGCACTGGCATGGATATGAACATGATCATCATCTGGTTTATTTCCTCGAATATGGCGTAATCGTGGACGTGAATTGAAGGCTCTTTGGCAGTCAGATCTCATGGACGACCAAACAGAAAGCCATCAAATAAACAGCGATCTTGAAGTTTAGAAGCGAAAAATTGACAAACGGTGTAGGAGATGTGGAGTTGAATGAAGGTCAGGAGCCCTACAAACTGCACATGGTACCTGAAAATGATTATGCTTCCATAAACCCACTTGTATCTAGATACACTAAACACACTCAAAGTCGACATTGGAGGAGACAAGAGAATAGAATTGTGTGAAGTGGGGTTGAGAGGAATAACAAAAATAGGGACGGGAAGTGATGCAACAGGGGTTAGACTGAAAATCGGTCAAGGGGATTGTCTTCACCAGTCACCGATAAATTGTAACTATGTGTTGGCAACGGCACCTTTCATTGACAATGCCGAAATGTTTGGTAATGTACCAAATCAATGGCCCGATAATGGAAATCACTAATACTACGGCAGATGACACAAGACTAGGTAAGTTCCACAGTCTCCCTGACGTGCCGCCGCCAATTTTAGCAAATAACTACTTGGTTCAATTGGAAAGTGAATGATATGAAACACATCTACTTATTCGTGATAGTTTGCCGCTTGGTAACACGGCAAAGAAGATGAATTGGCTCACTCCTAACTAAAATGTATACCAATAAAGCAGTTTACTTGCACTCGCAATCAAGTCTGTGCAAAACCCATGTGATAATCAAAAGTAGTTGGTAGAGAAAATGGTATATGATCAAGACCACTAGAGTCAAACTATCTTTTTTAACTCATGTGAAAAGTTTTACCATAATATGAATCACAAGCATAAACACATGTCAATAATTAAGTAAAGCAATCAGTCATAATTAGTTCTCGAATTGGATTCATACCACTATCATTTACAGTAATTATATCCCACAATCTGATGACATAGATATTCTCTCTTATTTTGCGCCTACCAGCAGACATGCAATAAACATAAGATGAGTTCGAGGGCATTCTACTCAATATCCATTTATACCAGCTCATTAATATCGGATTTTAAGCAATTAGTAGGATCATTTGACAAATATCCATATGCATTAATGTATCTCCTCAATTTAACTTAGCCATGACCTTTATAAATATAATTTTCTACAAGACATCAGCCAGATTTTTAAGAAATTTGGTTCGGAAAGGTATGTCGGTATGTTTCTAATCCTGGAATTATTTATGCATGAAGTTAAGAAAAGCAACATTATAGTATGTTTTAGTCAAAGGTATGAATACCAGGATGATGTGGCCTTTTCTATGGTCGAGGTGTCTCTCTAGGTCCTCCTACTAATATGTGTGCCAACCCACAAATGTTGTGGTACTGCTTGCTTTGAATAGATTCAATGTTGAACCACACCGTTTGTGGTTGGCACACAAGAGACTAGGGCATGGGAAGTCATAGACTTGGTATTAGGGAGGGTTGAGCCTCGAGAGCAGACGGATCTTATGGGGCAAGAGAGAGACTGTGATAAGACCTAGGGAAGGACTGCGCAACAATATGACAGACTGTGATCAACATTCCCAGCACAAGGATGAAGGGTTTTGATGAACGCCGCTCAAAGTAGCACACAACACTACATCGAAATAAGCACAGTAAGCATTGTAACAGCGAAGGTGTGATAAGAGGATATAGGAAATGTGAATAGCCCAGGAAAAAATGGGAGATACCAGAACTCTTTGACGAGTTGTTGTATGGTGCTAAGAGTGGCAATACTGACTGACAATGCCGGCGAAACGTCTGGGAATGTACCACATCCACGGTCCGAATCTGGAAATGATCATACATGCAATGGACTCCAAACTAGGTGCGTTCCTACAAATCTTTCTACCAATATGACCAAGTTGCGAAAACAAGATCAAACAACTTTTGATGCACTAAACTTGCCAGGCCTCTGAAGGAATCCGATGCCCCTAGCAGCCACTTCAGCGGCACTGTAAGCTCTCTGGGTGGCTGGGAGATTGGTACCGTCTGTGCAAATGATGTATTCAATGGCATCACCACCTCTAAGTCGACGACCACCGAGGCCGGAGGTCTGAGCTGAAAGGTTAGAATTGTGCCGCAAGGCAACAAGTACATGCGGCTGACCCTTGGAATCCAAGTAGTCCTCTGGGTTCTTGGTCAGCATCTGCAAAGGGCAAACAGATCACATGAAAAAACGAGTAATGTATAAAATATAGACTATTTATTTTAAAGTGACATCGATAGCTACATAAAATACCAAAAAGATGACAATAAATCTTGCGATTCCTTCAGCTTTCACAGTTCGAGAGTCGCTCATCTCAATTCCAAGTTAATTAAATGCAAAAACAATTAATGAAAAGGAAATCAAGTTATACATTTCAAACCCATGCGATAAATCCCAACAGGCAGTAGCAACAGATTGTAATACCAAAATAGAAATGATGTTAAGGTGATATTGGAGGCTAGGTTTGCCATCGATATCACGACTGTTCTGTGACCCATTGTTTTCTGTTACTGTGTGACATATTGACAGCATGTTGAAAGCTATTTCCATTTATAATGAGGTTTTCGAGACCACCAGCAGATCATGAGGTGAATTTATCTTATATATTTTAAGGGACTGGTAGTTTGATCTTTTCACAAGCTAGCGTTTCCATCGAATTTCACATATTCTTGCTTTCCCAAAATTTGTTCTCATCCAGGATGGACTGCAGTTCCTAGCTCGCATAGGTCTTATCAACTTCCCCAGCGGGATTCGAGCCACAAAACTGCAATGTATGATCGAGCTTGACACGTTAATCATTACACGGGGCAAATGTGAATTTTCCTATGCCACATTCTGTGGTGGGATTATCGAGGCAAAGTTGTATTTTTTAAAGCAATCGACTATACTACAT